GGTGTCCCCGGGGACGATGCCAGCGTTGGCGTTTTGTGGGCAGAGGAAGGATTTTGCCGGGTGGTGGTGGGCTGCAGCGCACCTCTGTGCGGCGAGGGGACTTGCGTTCTGGTTGGTCTCGGGTTCGCTCAGCACCCTCTTCGTTGCGCAGAGGAGCTGCCGCAGAGGAGCTGCTCATTAGGTTTGGATAGGTCTCAAATTGCTGACGCTGAAAAGATGGGGTCAGTCTGGGGGATATTGCCTTTGTATTTAAAATAGTGCATTTTCTAGGGCTGCACCCATTTCCCAACGCTGAAACGTTGAACGACCCTCGAGCCCTGCCGGGTGCGATGCGGTGAGCGCCTCCATGGCTGCACCGCCCCGGCACGGCTGCGCCCCTCCGCATCCCCCCAGCCAGCTCCCGCCCAGCGTCGAATTTGCTGGGGAATTTTAGGGGTAATAGTCATCAAAGGGAGACAGCCCTCACGCTTGTTTGCTTCTTCCCTTGCTTTTCTGAGCAATTATTTGTGGCTGCTGATGTGTCTCAGCCCTTCCTGTATTCTCCTGGTGCGGTTTAATTTCCTTTGCTGCCTGGATCCACCTTACAGCATGCAGAGCCTCTTTGTTGTGGTGCGGGGTCGCTTTTTTACAAGCATCTATCATACCTTGGCTGGGATGCCTTTTGTGACAGTGTTTGTTTCAACGCTGTTTTGCTTTGAGGGAAGTGGGGTTACTGCAGGCTGCAAAGGTGTGAACGTTCTGTTTTCTGCCTATTTAATACTTAGCAAATAAATGTTCTCCCTAAAAACAAACGAGAACAGAAGCAGTTTGTGTTCTCTTTGAACGTTCCGCCTAAGGTCTGAAGGTACTTTTGGGTACGAGTTAGGCTCTCAGGTAGTACCCAGCGTCGCCATAGCCAAGGGCAGACATTATCCTGGTGGAACGTTATTTCATGCTTTGCAGCAGGCATGTCAAATACCTTACAACTGTTTAACCAGGGAGGAAACGAGACAGGTTCATCGGTAGTTTGGAAAGCATTTCATTCTCTCTCGAGCCCAGTACCATTCAGCCTCGGCTGTGTAAAAACCCTCAGTGTTTCTGCAGAGCTTCGTCATTCGTGTTAAGCCCCATCAGGTTCCTCCGGACCCGCCGGTCGCCGTCCTCGCTGCCGTCACCCCTCTCGTGAGGACGGCACCTAACTCCCGGGGCTGGGAGCAGCTGGCCGGGCGCATGGTGGGGAGCTGCTGTCCGCCTGCCCGAAGGCGTGAGGAGGGCGACGAGAGCAGCAGAGCTGTGCGGGGACGTCTGGCTGTCCCACGGGGATGGGGCAGCTCCCTGCCCCTCACTGCTGGGCTGCTCCCCATTTCCTACCCGCTGGATGTTGCTTGGTTCTTAAAATGTTGCTTGTTTTCCCGTGCAATTTGGTGCCTCGGTGGTGATCAGTGGCACAGCTTGCTCTCCACCCCGTCGGTTTAGAGCACCTCAGGCCTGGTTTTCACAAGAGATCACCCTCGGCACGGCACCGTGACCAAGTCCTGGGGAAGAGCTGGCTCGCCCTTAGCTGCCCAATTGCAGTTACCCGAGGGGAGACATTGAGATGCTCGTGCAGGGTTGGAGACTCACTTGCCTTCCTCCTGGCTTTGGGCAAACCTTTTAATACATCTCTGTTTCCACTCCTGGGTCTAAAATGGGGTTGCTGGTGCTGGGGTCAGCGGCCGGCAGCGGTGTTCTGCAGCCCCCAGCCCCTCCTGCGGTACGGCTCCGTGGTGGGCGGTGGGAGACACACACACGTCTTTGCCTGCTTCCACGGCACCTTGGCCAAACCCAGCTTGCTTGAGATCTGGGGTGTCGCTTTATTTCCCAAGTTGAACACTGTAATGTTTCTGCCCCTTGCAGGGGTGTTACCAGACTTAATGAATTAATATGTGAAGAGCTTTGAGCTCTCCGGATGAAAGGCGCTACAGAAGGACTAAGGATTATTATTTGTGGTTCTAATTTATTTTCCATCAAAGGGATGAGAGGGGTGAGAAAATGCCATTTGTTCTGGAGCTGGGAGCAGGAGTTTGAAGTCTTTTTTTTTTTTCTTTCTTTTTCTTTTCCCCTCCCCTTTGTGTGTTTCTCTGGGAATTTTGTGGAAGTGCCTGCTCTGTCTTTTCTTCTCTGGGCACCAGTGTGTGAAGCAGCGGCGCAGGGCTAATCACCAGAGACTTCAAGGGCCGTAGCACGTTAGGAAAGCGCCTGCCCTGGTTTTCAGTAGCAACCGATTTCTGGGCATTGCAAATAACTGCTAGCTTCAGTGTGAGTTCAGCGTCAAAGTCAAGGGAAGATTTCACATGGAATTTTTTCTCAAAAGCATCTGGCAATACCCTGACCTCCATCTCCTCACATTCTGTAGCATTCAGCGGTTTTTCCTTTGTAGTGGCTTGGTTTTGTGTGCTTTGGGAATTCCCACCCTTGGACAGTGGCAGATATGTTCTGCTGGTATTATTTTTTTGTAGTCAAGCAGCAGTAATTTCCAAAGGGGTAGGAGAACGACAGCGAGGGGTTGGGAGGCGCACAGTCCTGTTTCCAGGGTGCAGAACTGTGGTTGGCTGTTCTTGGCAGGAAAGCAGGTCCTCCTCTGGCATCGGCACGGGGGTCTCGGCCCTGAGTTCTGCTCCGGCCATGTGGCAGCCCCTCGGTGACGGCTGGGCAGCTGCCCGTGCCAGACTAAGCGGGTTGTGGGGGCCGGGTCCATGGTCCAAGTGCAGAGCTTGGCTCTCGTCCCCCGCGGCAATGAGCTGCTTGGGGCACCGTGCACCGGGGCTGCCCGTCCCTGCCTGCGGGGTGCTCGGGGTGTGCCGAAACACGGCTGGGAAGAGCAGGGCAGCTGCGGTGCTGACTTCTCTTCGTCTCAGCGGTTTCTGTGGGCAACCCCGGAGCAGTTGTACAGCCGTTCATGCTAAAACTGTCTCGCGGGAGAGACTCGCAGAGCTAGAACGAGGTTTCGCCTGAAGTGGTGAATAGAAATTTGCCCCCATTCCTCATTTTTTGTGTTGCTTGCTGATTTATTAAGGCAGAGATATACCAGTCCTTAACTATCCATGTTTTCAGCTAGTAAGATTAGAAGTTAAATAGAAGCAGAAGAAATGGTGGATTATGACCATTCGATAGTACCTGCAAAAATCCTCATTATTGCACGTGTGGTTTCACTGCTTTAAAAGACTGGCTGA